TTGACCTTTTAGGATGGAACTCTGGGTCTTAACATGGTATCAGAGCCAATTCCGATTATGGTTTGACGGCTTGTTTAGCACCCATGATTAAGGGTAGCTTGTTAAGGGTTTGTTTGGCCCGTTTATACACCCCGTTATTGTCCAACCTAGTTCGGGCTGAGGGGGTGTGTTAAAGCATTTGTCCCACACCGAAAAGCTATAAAACAATTAAACATTATATAAGGCTTTGCGTTACTCCTCCTATCAGGTTGACCTTTAAGACAAATAGTCACAATATTGAAATGTTAGATCTGTGTTCCCGAGTTTGTAAATGTCACCCCTCAATTGTCCAAACTGTTGTACATGTGGTCCTTTGAGGGATGAAATGTACAATGTGAGTGAGAAGTACATTTCACCTCTCAAAGGACCATATTTACAGCAATTTGGACAATTGTGAGGCAATATTTACAATCTCCGAAATACGAGTCTCACATTTCAAAATGGTGACCATTTCAGGGATTAGAATTGATATTTTCCCTTATATATTTAAATATGTTTTAAGAATAACAATAGAACATAACGATTGAAAATAAATCTCCGAGGTGTTAGGATGTTTCTATTTGGATTATTTTCAGTCTCAAACCATATCAGAACAGACTTAAATAGACTAGACCAAATCAGACTTTGATAGTTATGGAGTTCAAAACACACAGAAATCGAACATTTACCAAGCCAGACCATGCCAGTTCAGATCAGACGAGACTTAAACAGATCAGACTAAAAAATTTCCTTTCAATTAAGAAACAACTTTAATACTCCCTCCGTCCCGTTTTACCTTTTCGATCCGTCCCACTAAGATTGTCTCATACCTTATTTGGTAAAGTTTGTGTGGTTCTAAATCATTCCTACTTTATTCTTACTTTATCAATTCAATACCAATTACCAACCACATAAACCCAATTTTATTAATAACTGTGTCACCTTCTCTTATCCCAAACTTAGGGGGACGGAGGTAGTATATAATAAAGGTTTTGGATCAAATAAAAAGTTTTTTCCCATGAAAAGTAAGAATGAATCAAGTACATTGGATCTAAACTAGTGGCTCTAAGCATGTCGAAAATGCATTGAAGTGGATAAAAAACGGTGACATTTTTTATAAATAAATTAAAGTTTTCTTCTTTGAAAAATTAAAGTGTAAATACTAAATAGGTAGATTTGTGTTCTGTGTGTCTAACATAGTGGAATTAGGGACTGTTTTTCATTACATTCCCATGTGAGATCTTGTATACATTTATTAGAATGTACTCCCTTTGGATCTTATTCATCTTTCCGCTTTCCTTTTTTGTCAGTACCATATTAAACTTTACACTTCCTTATTTGCCTTATTTGGCAAACAAATCTACACCAAACAATGCAAAACAGTGTCAAACAGTGTACTTTACAGTAAAGTCAAATTTGTTTCCTTTATATATGTGAAGTCAAAGTGTAAAGATCAATAAGAACCGGAGGGAGTATATGACAAATGTACCCCACAAATGTAAATCTAACCTACTAAAAAAAAGGATGATACCCCATCCCTGCGGGCCTAGCACCGGCCGGACAGTTCGCTGGAAGGATGTGAATTGAACTTTAATCACAAAGCTGATAGATAGAGAGTGGGGCTCTGGTCCCAGTACTTGCAAAGGTCCTATACTTTTTAGCTGACCTCTCATCACAGTTGACGAGATTTGAACCTGAGACTTACCCCTTGTGGCACCCCTATCTACCAATTGATCTATGCCCACCGACATATCTAACCTACTCAATATCACAAGAGGTAAGCCACTCTAACTTAGATAGCAAATCAAGTACCTAGGTTTTTATGGCCTATAGGGTACTACCGTACTACTACTCTTTGAGTGCACACTAGGGTAACCCGGACATTCTTGGTGTACACAAGATGTACACAAAATTTGTACATTGTCTGTGTACACAGGCAATTTGACATCAAATTCTACCTCTCTTTAAACGAACAGCTTGTGTACATAGGTAACTAGGGGGTCTTGTGGACATTTTGTGTACAACTCATGTACACTAAGCATTTCTCTGGGTAACCCTTTAGTCTGAGCGCAGCAGTAGAATGAAAATCACACCATTTAGACAAGTCATGTGTTACAAGCTTGATTGAAAGTGCTGACAGAGGCATTGAACTGGTGACCTTCCAATCACTAATTCTACCTGCTCCACCGATAAATAGAGTTTGACATGTCTTACAAGCTACACTTTGAATGTAAGCAATTAAATAGTCTTCTGGAGTTCTAATTGTGAATACTTATCACATCAAATTAGTGTTTTTTAGTGGGGAGTAATGTGTGTCATTATAAAAAAAAAAGTCTCAAACCCATTGAAGCATTCTGATTATGTTAGGGTGTGCTTGGGACTTAGTTGGGTTTTGGAGGGGAGGGGAAGGTTGGTGGGAGTTTAATTATAACCCTTCTTTTCATGTTTGGAAGTTTAAAAAATTGGAGGGAATGATTTTGGGGCACTTTCATGACCCTCCAAAACCCTCTAAATACACAATTTCTAAGTTCCTCCAATTTGGAGGATTTTGAAGAATAGTTAACAAAATGATAATTTAAACTTAATTAAAAATGAATATTAGCTCAATTATTTGAATTCCTCATATCTCAAAGTGATTTAAATTATAATTCCTTCAAAAGTTATTTTCTTCCAAATTTATTACTCTCAAATACAAAGAAGGGTTTCCTCACATTCTTCTCCATTTCCCCTCCAACATACCTCCAAAGTCTTCTCCCCTTCCAAGTTCCAAACTCTCAAACATACCCTTAGGGTATGCTTGGGAGTTGGGAGGCGATTTTTTGGAGGGAGGGAAGACGTGTAGGGGTTGATGACCCTCCTATTTGTATTTGAGAGTTTAAGAAATGTGGATGAGTGGGTTTGGAAGGTTTTTGTGATCCTTCAAAACCTCTCAAATGCTCAATTTTTAAGTTCATCCATAATGGAGGGATTTAAAGAATAACTAACTATGTTTTTTGTCACAAGTATAACTAACTAAATTATAATTTAAGTTTAATTTAAAATGAATCTCAGAACTGTAATTTTAATGATAATTCATATTTTCTTTGTACAATTCTATTTAACCTATTATAGTATTTGCTCAATATTAAGGCCAACATCCTTGGATTGGAATGAGATCCGAACGTGTGACCTCCACCTTAGGGATGTCACAGTGATGTCATCAGACCATAAGGTACTTGGCAATGATAATTCCTGTTATGACTCTTTTTCAAATTTACTACTCCCAAATAAGAAGATTTTAGTATTTTACTAACATTCTGCTTCATTTCCCTTAAAGTCTTCCCCTCATTTTCCCCCATACTCCCAAACATACCCCTAAGGGTCCGTTTGGTTCAAGAAATGTCAGATTACCATGTGAATGTTAGATTAATGGGTATGTTAGATTGATGAGAATGTGTTTAATTTGTATCCAAATTGTGTTTGGTTAAGATTAAGGGAATGTGACATTAATATGTTTGGTTCAATGGTATCTTATATTGTATATTTGTTGAATTACTTCAACGCCCTTTAAATTAAGATAATTAAAATTAAAGAAAAAACGGAATATCTTAATAATAATTAAAATTAAAACTAATTTAATATTAGTGAACATTTTGAATAATTTTACTAAGTAAATGCATAATAACTTTTTGAGTATTAAACTTTGGAAAATGATTTCGATTAGTAAAATTTTATGAAAATTATTAATTTTATACTTTTATGAAAGTATTTTAACCAAGAACATTTGCATATCACTTTTGAGTTATCTCCTATAACATATACGATAAGACAGGGTTTAAAAAATAAGTTCTACTAGACGAAGGGAGTAATCGTTAATCATAACTCATAAACGATAGTTTTTTTAACGTTTTAGTGAAGCACTTTGTTTTCTCAAACAAATAATGTTTTCTTTCACTTTTCTTCTTCCATGAGTAAATTCAGACTTTCGTTGGATTTACGAGTAATCCCTATCTAGTATTCCTCACGGTGGCAGACTAGCAGAGGGAAAGCATAGAGGAATAAAAAGGACTTTTTAAAAATTGGCCTATTGGGAAGAGGTGGTGGTTGAAGAGACTTCACCTTCCGATCCAAGCTTAGAGGGTGGGTATTTTTGGAAGAAAATTTACAATTATAAGGGAATGTAAGATAACCTAAGGGAGTGGTGGGTTTGACATTAGTGGACATCTGATGCATTATTCACTTTTTAAGGAATGTAAGATTCCCAACAATTATTCAAACCCACGAACCAAATGCATATATCTCACATTCCTGACACAAGATTCCGACCTGCATGAGGGATTATCTTGAACCAAACATACCCTAATAATTTTAAGTAATTTACACAAGTTCAGACCTACCTTATAGTGATGTTACCTCACATTAAACTTTAGTACTTTACCACTACTATTACTGCCCCGTGTCCAATTGCCCATCAAATAAACTGCCCATCAAATAATTTCATATTTCCCAAATGTGTGGGCAATTCAGATTTTTAAGAGTAATTCACGAAATTCATCTTACTTTGTTGTGCGGTTGTGCCCAAAAAGTATAGAAATACTCTCCGTTCTCTTTTAACTGCAACATTGGACTTTTTACACTATTCACGTATTCTACTTTAACTATATTTTATTTATTAACGTATTATAAATTAAATTTTTTTAAAATATTTTTAAAATTTTCTCATTCTAAAATTTCAAAATATGAATTTTTTTAATTTTTTTACTAATAAGGAATGAAAGATATCAACGGTCAAACTTATGCGTTGACAATAGTGAAATATTGACTGTTACAATTAAAAGGGAACGAAGGAAGTATAAAATTGAGATGTCACACAATTCATTCCAATATATATGAACCGATCTTTGAAAGTATAGCATTCCAAATGCGGGTACATGGTGTACCCCTATTCTAGTGTACACCTTTTGTACCCCTATTTTGATGTACACCTTTTATACCTCCTATTTTGTTTATATACACAGATAAAACAAGACCATACATGGAGGTGTATACGGTCAAAGCTATACAGCAAGCACCGCTCGTAAATGAAATGATAAAATTGTTGAACTTTTCAGAACAAAAAGTTGTGTGATACACTTCAACAAAAAGAAAATGAAAGACTATTATATTATTATTCTTCTGTCTCGATACTAGAGGACATTGCTTTAGTTTGTGACATTGTTTGAACTATCCATTCATGAAATGCCGTCCAAACACCTGTACAGAATTGTAGGTATGATGAAAGTGAAGTGGGGGGAGGTGTTGACCGTAGACTATTTTAATGTCTGCGTCAGTGAACGTTTACCTAATCTTCTCCTTTGACTCTGCATTCCCAATTATTTCAGAGCTTTTATGAGTGGGTTGGGCAAGCAGCTCCGGCCAAGTGGCAAATTGGCATGTACATCACCATCAAACCAAGCATCAACCCAATATTGCATCTCTCTTTCACTTCAGCAATTAGGAAAGTATGAATCAAGCGGTCCCAGTTCTGAACCAAACTAGGACCATCACTATATGCACCGAAATCAAAGGGGTGATTGATCCATGATTCCATTCTAAAATAAGAATTGGGGCCTAGCATTGATTATGCTGGTCAGGCTCAGATCTGGTTCCGGGTTCCTCCGAGAAGGATCAAACCGGTCTATTCAAGTTTCACCCCGATTGGAAACCACTCTGGTCCGAAACTAGACCGTGTGCACTGCTACCCTCCCACCACTTTTTGTTACCATAATATAAAAATGGGCACAGCAAATTCCATGAAATAAGTTGATTAAAGTGAAAGGGCAGGGCATACTACTACAAAAACCCTAATCCATAACTATACAGATATTTGTGGCATACAAAGACAGCAAAAGAAGCACAGATTAAAAGATCATCATGTACAAATTGTGGCAACCAGACTATGGGATTGAAGTCATTCATCTGGTCCGGAATTCATTACGGAATCTGGCTATATTGCTAGAGAACTTCTCCCTGTTCTTCGGATCCAAGCTTCGAGTTATATCAGCCATTAGTTTATCGAAGCACAGGGAGAGGCGCTGCTGCTGATCCACTTGCTGTATATTTGCCAAAAACAAAACAAACAAAAATGAAAACAAGACAACTTTTTAGTCAAGAACAAGAGAAGGGTGTTTTTGAATTGTAACAAAACACCGTGCAAAACTTTTCTTAACAAGGCAAGTACAATTATTCCATGTTCATAGGTGCACTGCGTCATTTTTCGTTTGTGTTAATTAATTAATCACATCCGATAGTTCAATTTATTTAATATGGTACCAGCATATCACGAGGAGCATAAACAAGCCAACTAGCCGAGGCCAAGCTCCACCTAACACTTTCATGCTAAAGCTTAACTCGTTAGGCTCTATTACTTTTTTATGTTTTCAAGTTTTCAACAACAGCATATACCATTTCTCCAAAGAATATTACTACTCCCGTGGCAAAGAATCTTGTTTCACAAAGATACATTTTTTATTTTAGTAAGATTTTGGAAATCATCGATTGTAGTTGTTATGCTTTAAAATATATTATCTGGTTAGCTTAGTTTAGCATATTTATATTGGTTAGGTCACCTATTAAAAAAATCATTAAATTTGATTGATAAGCTTTTGTCAACAAGACTTCTTTAAGATAACTAAGCTTTCTTAGGGACAAAGGGGTAAAACATTCAACAAACACCAAAAAATGATTCTTAACACGAAAAAAAATATTTACTCTTTTCTGTAATGAAAGTGCATAAATGTCTTTTCTTTTGAATCTTTTCTTTCTTTCTTTTGTATTCGTTTATCTTGCCTACTTTTTTTATTCAGCAAAAAGCCTAGTAGAGGAAGTAAAACTAAAAACAAAGGAGGGAGTACAAAGTACAAACTACATCCAAGTGGGCCTTGCTTATGGACAATGTCTTTTTTTTGTAAAAATTGAAACGCATATCTAAACATATTAATATCTTGTTTAGCGGGCTTTAGCCTCATTAACTGATTGACTCAAGTATTTAGGAGCCCAACAGCAACTCAACTCAATACTCAAGCAGCTCAAGCTTAGCTTGCTAGAAGCAAACTAATGCCAGATCTGAGTATTTGTCTAGCCGAAGTTGAGTACCTTGTCTTGCTTACACTCCTAGAAACACCCCAATGGAACAAACAACCTAAGATAGAAACTTTCACATTTGAGAAAGTATGCAAAAACAAAAGGGAAAGTTCCCGAAATAGGACTAAAACAGTTTGAAAATTTCAAAATAGGACTGACATGTTTTTTATTCCCAAAATAGGAGTAACTACTGTCAAGTTTGAAAAATACTGCCATGTTTGAAGTCTGGTACCGCCAAAACATGACAATAATTAGTCCTATTTTGGGAATAAAAACATGGCAGTCCTATTTTGGAATTCTCAAACCTTTTTATTCATATTTCAGGTAATATTCTCAAAACAAAAATGCAATGTCTTTATTTTTTTCTTTTTAATGCAAACCAATTTAGTGTCAATGCAACCACTCACAATCATGGGATAGTGATTTCGAGGCAACTTAAGAAACACAAGATAGTAGCCACACAACTGCAATTAAACTTACTTGTGAAGCCGTAATCTGAGCCCTCAAATTAGAGAACATCTGCAAGGTACACAAAATCATATATCATAGAATTTACTAACTATTGTCTCATGATTTATTGAGTGCAGATTTTCCTTGACAACTGGCTTTTTTGAGAATATTTTGCAATGCCCGATTACATAGTATTCATAACTTATACCATCAACACTATTGCCAGAAATATGTTATTGTCAAATATTTCATCATTTCATTTTCATTTACCCCAGTGCCGCAAAGGCTCCCACCTACGGTGGGGTCAGGGGGTCGGATGTATGCGGTCTTATCCCTGTATTAAAGGACAAAGAGACTGTTTCCGGATGACCCATAGTGAAAATCGCGTCCAAAATTGCATGGACTGACTGCTGCTTCATAACAAAGAAGCGCGGACAGTTTAGTGAGCTATTTTGCTTTATTCCGTCATATTCTCAAGCCAAAAAATAATGAATCTTTGGCTCCATTGCAAATGATGGAAAATTATTGTCAAATATTTACTTGATGTAAATAATTAGTTTAATACTAATAGTTTCAAATGGAAATATCAGTAACCAAACACAAAACCCACGGTTACAAACTGTTTGGTTAAGCAGAAGAGGAAACATATGCTTTCTCATGCTCGGAAGGCAAGAAAAGGGAGAGAAAATATAATATATTGACCAAAGCTAACAAGGTCATTTTTTAACAAAAACGTAAAAACAGTCTTTAAACATTGTTACCACCACTATCATTCCCTCATAATTTACCAATGGTTTGGAACGAAAAGAGATCGGGGGAAGAAATTTTGTCCATTTTAAAAAACATTAATATTTGCACCCAAAGTAAAAAGAAACTGTTAAGAATGGGGTGCAACTCCTATTTTAAAGAAACATGGAGTTCCAAGCTTTAGTTTAGTTTTAGGGTGCAATATTAATGATTTTGAGAAAAAATCTGTAGAAAATGTTACATTATTGTAGAAAATGTTACATGATTTAATTTTTTGTGTACTTAGTTAGCCGAATGGATTAGAATACTAGCTGTAAATTAGAGATAATCACGTAGCAATCAAGATCCTATTTTTTAGGATCTAAATTAGCTGATTAGTTGCTTGTATATTTGTATAAATACCCTGGCCGATTGGCATTATTATTCAAGGAAATTATATTCCTAAAACCTACATGGTATCAGAGCCTTGAAGTCACACCTTCCGATGGTGGAATTCGAATACTCTGACTCCTCTCTTCATTCACATACCAGTAACCCCCATATTAGCTCAATGACAAATTATCAGGCCACGGTTAATTCATCTATGCTCATCACTGGCCATAGATTGAATGGGAGAAACTACCTAGAGTGGTCACAATCTGTCAAATTAGCAATTGATGGCAAGGGCAAACTGGGATACCTGACTGGAGAGATCAAAGAGAAGAAAATTGGTGAAGATGGCTACAGTACCTGGAGGTCAGAAAACTCACTAGTGACAGCCTGGCTTCTCAGTTCAATGGATGCATCAATCGCCAAACCTCATATGTTTATGAAGACTGCAAAAGAGGTATGGGACTCTATTAAGGAAACCTACTCAGATCTTGAGAATTCTTCTCAGATCTTTGAACTCAAAACCAAACTGTGGCAATCTAAACAAGGAAATAGGGATATCATTTCATACTATAATGAAATGGTATCTCTATGGCAAGAATTAGATCAGTGTTATGAGGCTGAAGAATGGGAGAGTGCCAAGGATCTTGCAAGGCATAGGAAAAGAGAAGAGAATGACAGGGTCTATATGTTTTTAGCAGGCATAAATAGAGACCTAGATGAAGTTAAGGGAAGGATACTTGGGAAAAAACCTCTGGCATCAATCAGAGAAGTGTTTTCTGAGATCCGACTGGAAGATAGTAGGAAGAAGGTGATGCATAATACTCCAATAACTCATGAGGATCCTGGAGACTCATCAGCAATGGTGGTCAGAAGTGGTGACAAGAAAAAACCTTGGTGTGACTACTGCAAAAAATTATGGCACACTAGAGATACCTGCTGGAAACTTCATGGGAAACCACCAGAAGCTGGAAAGAAAAAGGCTCTACAAGCAACTATGAATGAGACTCAACAAGATTCACAAGTCAACTTCACACAGCCTTCCTTCACGAGGGAACAGATAGAGCAACTTCTCAACCTTCTGAATACTCAAAAAAATTCCAAACCTCCATCTGAATCCTCCTCTTGTTCTTATGCCCAGAATGGTACCTATTCACTTTTTTGTTCTGGGAAACCTAAAAGCACCTGGGTCATTGACTCAGGGGCTACTGACCATATGACCTCTATTTCAAACCTCTTTTCTTCATATAAACCTTGTGCAGGGGACAAAAAGGTTAAAGTTGCAGATGGCTCCTTGTCAGCCATTGCAGGGATGGGAAATATTAATATTTCCTCTTCTGTTAATCTATCCAAAGTCCTTCATGTCCCTAATCTTTCTTGCAATCTTGCTTCTGTTAGTCAGCTAACTAAAGATCTACAATGTTGTGTTATTTTTTATCCTTCTTATTGCATTTTTCAGGACCTAGCATCGGGGAAGATGATTGGCAGTGCTAGGGAGGAAGATGGACTCTATATCTTTGATGAAGGGACTCAATCAAGTAAAAGAGGTCCAAGAAATGCTTGTCTGCAAACTGTTTCTTTTTCAAATAATAAGGAGTTATATTTACTTCACTATAGACTAGGACACCCTAATTTCTATTACCTAAAAAGGATGTTTCCTCAATTGTTTCTGAATAAAGATATTTCTTTGCTTCATTGTGATATGTGTGCACTTGCAAAACATCATAAAAACTCTTATCTTCCCCACAGTTATAAACCTACCAGTCCTTTTACTTTGGTACATAGTGACATTTGGGGGGCATCTAGAGTACCAACTTTAAAGGGAAAGAGATGGTTTGTAACTATTATTGATGATCGTACACGGGTCACTTGGGTTTTTTTGCTTAAAGAAAAATCTGAAGTTGAGAAAGTATTTAGGGATTTTTATGCTATGGTCCAAACTCAATTCAATACCAAAATTAAAATGGTAAGAAGTGATAATGGCCGTGAATATTTTTCTCAAAACCTGAACACTTTTTTTGCTGAAAAAGGCATAATCCATCAAAGCTCTTGTATCAATACACCAGCTCAGAATGGAATTGCAGAGAGAAAAAACAAACATTTACTTGAAGTCACTCGTGCACTTATGTTTTCTACAAACATACCAAAATATCTTTGGGGAGAGGCTGTATTACATGCTACTTACTTAATTAACCGTATGCCATCAAAAGTTTTAGGATTTAAAAGTCCTATCAATTCATTGCAGCATTACTTTCCTACAACTAGACTGGTTAATACTCTTCCCCTAAAAATTTTTGGTTGCACAGTGTTTATAAAAAACCCTGATAAAACTGCAAGTAAATTTGATCACAGAGGAACAAAGTGTGTATTTCTAGGTGTTGCTTCCACTCAAAAAGGGTATAAATGTTTTGATCCTATAACCAGGAAAATGTTTGTTACTCTAGACACTTTTTTTGTGGAAGAACAGCCTTTTTTTGATACACATCTTCAGGGGGAGAATTTAAGAGAAGATGTTCAAACTTTACCACATATCCATGAAAACCTTAATTTTCTTGATATTAATCTAGATGATATTACATCTGAAAATGATCAAGGAATAACAAATAATGAAATAAATACACCTGAACCAATTGAAAAAGAACAACAGACAAGTCAGTTCTTTGGCAAAGTTTATGAGAGAAGAATCCAAAATCAAAGAGTAGAGGAAGTCCAAGAACCTGCCACTGTCCATGATTCTGACTCAATGACAAGGAGTGAAAAAGGTAATACTTCTAGTCAGCTTGACCTCCCAATTGCCCTCAGAAAAGAAAGAAGAACATGTGTTAAATACCCTATCTCAAACCATGTCTCTTATTCTAAATTATCCTCATCCTTTGCAACATTTACTTCTAGTGTTTCTTCTATTTCTATTCCTTCAACTATACAGGATGCTCTATCTAAACCTGAGTGGAAGAAAGCTGTTTTGGAGGAGATGGAGGCTCTTGAAAAGAATCAGACATGGAAACTTGTAGAGTTACCTAAAAACAAACCAACTGTTGGTTGCAGGTGGATTTTCACTCCTAAGTTCAAAGCAGATGGAAGTCTGGAGAGGTATAAGGCGAGGTTAGTTACTAAGGGGTACACACAGACCTATGGCATTGACTACACAGAAACCTTTGCACCAGTTGCAAAGTTGAACACTGTAAGAATTCTCTTATCTCTTGCTGCTAATCTAGACTGGCCACTGCAACAGTTGGATGTAAAGAATGCTTTTTTAAATGGAAAGCTTGAAGAAGAAGTGTATATGAAACCTCCTCCTGGATTTGAGAATAAGTATGGTGCAAAGGTATGCAAATTAGAGAAAGCTCTATATGGACTTAAACAGTCTCCAAGAGCCTGGTTTGACAGATTCACAAAATTTGTTAAGAAACAAGGATTCAATCAGGCTCAATCTGATCATACATTATTCATGAAGTTTTCAGACAAGGGGGAGATTGCAATACTGATAGTCTATGTATATGATATTATCCTCACAGGAAATTATCATACAGAGACTAAGAATTTAAAAGAAAAGCTTGCCCATGAATTTGAAGTAAAAGACCTAGGAGATTTAAAATACTTTCTGGGAATGGAGATAGCTAGATCAAAAAAGGGTATTGTTGTCTCACAAAGGAAGTATATCTTAGATCTTCTGCAGGAAACTGGGATGAGTGCATGCAAAACAGCAGACACTCCAATTGATCCAGGTCAGAAGTTGATATTCACCAATATCAAAGATTAGTGGGAAGACTAATATATCTGGCACATACAAGGCCAGATATTGCATTTGCAGTAAGCATGGTGAGCCAGTTTATGCATAATCCTTTCCAGGAACATCTTGATGCTACCTACAGAATTCTAAGGTACCTGAAGAGCTGCCCAGGGAAAGGATTATTTTTCAAAAAGGGAATCAGTAGAACAATTGAAGCCTATACTGATGCAGATTATGCTGGCTCCATATCTGACAGGAGGTCTACTTCTGGGTATTGTACCTATGTATGGGGAAACTTAGTAACTTGGAGAAGTAAGAAACAAAATGTGGTTGCTAGAAGTAGTGCAGAATCAGAATTCAGATCTATGGCCAATGGAATATGTGAATTACTCTGGATCAAGAGAGTAATGGCAGAACTGAAGATGGAGATGGAACTGCCTATGAAGTTGTATTGTGATAATAAAGCAGCTATAAGCATTGCTCATAATCCTGTACTACATGATCGAACTAAGCATATTGAAGTGGACAGGCACTTCATTAAGGAGAAGATAGAGGCTGGAATTATTTGCACACCATTTGTATCTACCAAAGACCAAACAGCTGACATCCTCACCAAAGGGTTATTTAAACCTGTGTTCGAGCTGCTTATAAACAAGTTGGGAATGTATGATATATATTCACCAACTTGAGGGGGAGTGTAGAAAATGTTACATTATTGTAGAAAATGTTACATGATTTAATTTTTTGTGTACTTAGTTAGCCGAATGGATTAGAATACTAGCTGTAAATTAGAGATAATCACGTAGCAATCAAGATCCTATTTTTTAGGATCTAAATTAGCTGATTAGTTGCTTGTATATTTGTATAAATACCCTGGCCGATTGGCATTATTATTCAAGGAAATTATATTCCTAAAACCTACAAAATCAAAGGAAAGTTGGAGTACAAATCCAATTTCCCTTAAGCAAAATCTTACAGAACTCAGATTGTAAAAGCATCAAAGTATTGAGTTGTGCATTTTTGACATAAGATAAGAACACCATGGTTGACAAACCTTGAACTTAAAATGTATTGCACATATAGACTGTTTGTATAGGTACTGGGTAAGCAAAAAGAATTTGGGTTAAAAAAAGGTAAGCAATAAGAAATGCAGCAAAACTAGCCTAGCAAGTGCCTTGAAAAGTAGAAAACATATTATCATGATATAAAAAAGAAATATGTGCAGTTACCTCATCACTTATAAGTATTAAACTCAGCATTGGTCGGCTTAGACTCCACTGGTTGACACAATCTTCAAACAATACAAGCTCAAAGAGGGTCTTCAATATCTAGCAGGGGAGAAGTTGATGCAGATATATTACATCAACGATGCATAACTTGTACAATACATTAACATAGGCGCCAATAAAATTTGACATTACATGGTCGAACCAAATCTTTTTAAGAAAGGAAAAAGCTTTATTAATTGAAATTAACAACACTACAGATAAAGAAGGCAGGACAAGGACTCGTTCCTTTGAACCACCATGAGTGTCAAACATTATAGCTCACAAATGGGCTGAATGATTTGCTGGTGCTTAAAACAAATCTAGTTCAACCAAAAATTGATGTAAACAAATTCTAACCGCAATCCCCATTCCGAGTTGGAATCAATAGCAGCTTCATAACACGTATTAGTTTCACAGAGTTTTATCCTTAAATATTACTACCTCGTCCCACCAACATTGGGACTTGAGGGGGTGGCGCGATTATTAAGAAAAGTGAGTTGTGTAGTTGATATTGAATTGATAAAGTAAGAATAATGCAAGAATGGTTTAGAACCACAAAAACTTTACCAAATTTGGTACTGGACAATCTTAGTGGAAAGGACCGAAAAAGAGAGATGGGACAATCTTAGCGGGGCAGAGGGAGTACTAAATTGAAGTCAATTTCAAAAAATGTGACCACTTTAAATATTGACAAAAATGTGATAAACAAGGTCATACATTTGGAAAACATGTCACTGCATCATTTTTATGTTACTGTGATTTTTTCATGTCACTAAGAAATTGTCACCGTCAGATTTTATGTCACTTACGGATGTCACTGACGCAATGACGCCAACCACAATCACCTGCCTTCCAGCCAGTGACTATCGCATCTGGCTAGAACCACCGCCTTCTGGCCAGTGACCACGCCGGGGCACAGTGACACCCAGTATAGACAGCAGAAACCCAACGACCACCACCATCCGGCCAGTTACCACCATAGCCCAGCTAGTGACAACCACTCCCCATCCCCCGCACCGTCACTGCCGCGACCCAGCCGGGCGGTCACCCAACGCCGCCCCCAGTACCCCCAAACCTAACCATAGCCTCCGTCACCCAACACCACCCCCACTACCTAGACCTAACCCTAGCCGACGCTCACCCGACACCGCCACTGACTCGCCAATGAACTGCCACCACCCTGCCCCCAAGATATTGCCGTCAGCAACAACAGTCGTCGTCGAGTGATCAATGAAGAAGGCGATGGAGTGCCAAATCCGCATCTTCGTCGCAAATCGGTATTTAGGCAAAGCTGGTTTGTGACTTTGCGTACAACAAAGAAAGAAGGAGAGTTAGGCGGCTGAGTCAGCAGAGGTTTCAGAGGTGGAGTAAGCCAGTTGCCGACGCCGGAGTGTAACTGTTGTCGCCAGTTTTCATCGTCTTCCATTGCCCTGGCAGCAGCAAATGAGGGAGGCAGATCTGGAATTCTGGATGTTCCCAGGGGAGAGGTAAAGTGATGGGCTGCTGGAGGAGGAAAGTGATGAGGCGGATCGATAAGTCATATTTTTGTCCAGATTAAATTAGTGATATTTTTGTCCACTGAAACTCTACTGGTAATATTTTGCTCATTCTTTCTAGTTTCACTTATTGGTATTTATTACAAGTTTAAAGTAATCAAAATGATGGCTTATAAAGTAACCAAAAGAAGTTTGAACTACACTTTATGTGCTGAGTAGGAATCAACAGAAGCATCTATAGCACATGCTACTAGCAATTTATTGGGTATTTAGTACCAGTTTAGTATCCAGGAGCCAAAATGTTGGCTTATAAAGTCCACTTGAAGGACTACATACAGGAGACTTTCCCTGCTTGTCTACTTGCTCAAAAAGTTATTGTAAAGACTAAAGAACTTAAGTGTGAAACAAAAATGAATAATGAATTGTCTCACCACAACATTAGTACCAAGCATATTTTTCAACAAAAGCAAAAAATGACATCGGAGGAAAATCTTGATGAGCATTTCACACAAACTCAATGCCTAAGACACTGCATATAGATGGTACATGAGAAAAGATAAGTAAACCTACTTCAAGAAAAATATTAGGGCAATCTGAGAAATGCTGAGCGAGTTTGAGAGTGACTGGAGATGAAGGTGACTCTCCAGATGTTATGCATTCAAAATAGAAAGTCGCCAAATAGTCCACAGCAGATGCACACTGAAATGCATAAATAAGGAAATGAGATTATTCTCTATGATATTGAGAAAGAGATAAACACAAACTAATAGGTGAGCAGGCACATACCTGTGTCTTGATATTTCCATCCAGTACTTTAAGACCGGACTCCAGAGATCCAGCAATAAAAATGAAGTTGTTTGTATCCAAATTCAAAATGAACGAAATCTGTGTTTTCATAAGAGCCTCCAGAAATGTGAAGTAGGCTGCTGCCAGCTGCAAATGTTTTTTTCATTTCAAAGGAAGCTCCAAGGGAGGTGAAGAACTTGAAAAAATCACTATTATAATAGCAATTGTAATGAAATAAACTAGATAAGATAGGATCCTTTATGAAAGACTAGCTACCTCACAACGAAGACTCGTAGATCTAAGTGATAACTGATAATATCCCAAAAAACTTTGAATTGTACTCCATCAGTCCCATTTTGTAAGATACATTTTCCTTTTTTGGGTTGTCCAAAAAAAATGAACACTTTCTTAAAATAAACATCTAAACTCTACTAACTTTTATTTCCAACTTTATCCCTTTATCTATCATTTCATCTATTTACTTTGGATTGACACATCCTTCTTTTTCTTACCTTTTTGGAGGTTAGTAAAACACATTTTCACCCTTTATTTTCTTAAAACCCGGGCCAAACACAAATGTATTTTACATTACGGGATAGAGGGAGTATCTTTTTGTGAATCTCATCCAAAAGGAGTTTGATGACTCAATTGTAGTACATGCGAAGAATCGTAAAACACCCTCTGGAGATTACTTACAGCATAAGGGTTTATGATGTTTTTACTAGGACTGTTTCCAGTCCCAAACCAGACTTCAACATTTACCGGACCAGACCAAACAAGTTCATACCAGACCAGACCAGATTAGACCAGACCGGAAAATTTCAGTCCAATTAAAAACATCCTTAATCCCCAAAAAGATGCTTTGCCAGCCAACATGAGTTAATCTATCCAATTGTCACATGCACACATATGAAGAACTACAGAGGAATAGTATTACAAGCAGAATGAGGTTTTTATCAAATAAAGATGTTTAATATCATATCAGCAGTCAAACATGACATACCTTTCTGTATACAAGTATATCAGTCAACGGAATAGACAAAACCATCCTTAGAGCAGTTTCTAAAGCATCAGCAAGTGCTCTATCCCCATATATCTCAAATACTCCAAAGTTGACATAGTCACCACAAAGGGCTATCATAAAAAAAAATGGTGTAAGAATACAGAGGTAATACAGGAAGCTTCAAGTGAAATAAAGACTAATCATGTTCCTTTTCATAAAGTGAATTCATTAAATACGTTAAGAATCACTTAAAAATACTAAAATACATCGGATGTAACAGCGATCACATCAAAACACTAAATGGTAAATCTTCTTCTCATTCAATCAAATTTCTTTTATCCATCATTTGCAATGGAGCCAAAGACTCACTATTTTTTGGCTTGGGAATATGATGAAATAAAGCAAAATGACTCACTACACTATCTGCGCTTCTTTGTTATCAAGCAACAGTCTGTCCATGCAATTTCCGACACGATTTTCTCTTTGTGCTTGGGGTAAGATTACGTACATCCAACCCCCCTTATCCCACCATAGGTGGGAGCCTTTACGGCACTGGGGTAATGATGATCATGATTTATTCAATCATTTTCTTTACAGGTTTGATAGTCTTGAATTTGTACTCCTTTCCGTTATATGATATATTATGTCCTCGCAATAGTGCATTCCTTTTTCTTCTCCTTCTAATGATGTACTCATGTACTAAAGTTTTGATGCATAAGAAATAGAATTTATTAATGAATCAGAAAATTGTGGGGAAAAACATCAGATACACAAGAAACAAAAAAATTATCCGTATAAGGTAAGCATCTCAATCTCTTTGTATAAGTGAGACTATTTAAAGGGTATATGCGCATTTATCCCATAGCAGAACCAAGATCAGGTGTTATCCAACATAAATTGTGGTAGAGAAGAATAGCTTGCTACTTGAGTTAAGGTCAGGAGGGAGAAGAATGAAATCAGAAAGGGAATAGGTTACAAACTTGCAACCATTGTGATTTAGGGTAATTTATATTTTGGGACAATTCGCCTGGCTCAGTTCAGAACCATGGGGGCAACAAGGGATAGCAGCAGCCGTGGCCCACCATTCAGAACCCTTTTTTCCACCACCATTTCAAGGAAATATGTTGGTCATGGCCACAATTTGGAAACACTGTATGAGAGGAAATTACTATTTAATGGTATGAAACTATGAAAGTGTATACAGGTTCACCTATTTCTACCACAAGAAATACAAAATTGACCAAGTTCACTATTATTAGGGTTAGGGTCTATATATCTCCTCATGACAATCATCTCTGTGGTAGTTAATTGCTGCAGCCTTCTACAGAAGGAAAATGATATGAAATTCCAAAAACGACATCATTCCCCACTTGAGTAGAAAATGTCATGAGACAACAATGAGTTGAGATAATTGTTGTAGTTGTTTCCTTACAATATTTGTATTGTTATCAACATGCACATCATAGAACATGACCAAAAATTGATTTACCATTTTTTGCAAATTACAACTGTGAGTAAAACGGTTATATATTGCCAAGATAAATAGATGTGCAATCATGTAAAGCTTTACTAGGGAATAGGGATTAGGGTAGCAGGGAACTGCTCAGAAGAAGCCAAAGGTAGCACACGGGAGGCTACTTCGACATATAATTGCCAATACTTCATTTGAGAGTATATAAACGGTGCCAAGTAATGGATATGAAAGCACAAAGCCACAAACAATAATGCATGGCTCTTAGCTTTTCACCATAAGCTTATAAGTGTTAACAGCACAGATAAGTATATCCTTATTATCTGCAAATATGAAGTTTACAGTTTTTCAGCAGTTCCCAATAGTTTGTAAGGTCTTCTTGCAAAAGAAATAGTTTTAAGTTCTCAAAAGTCAGGACTGATCCTACCTCTTACAAGAATAGTAAGGGAAATCCATATCCCCTTGTACTTGAACTGATACACATCCACCTGACTGGGAAGAGAAAGCAATCTCGACCCATACACAACAATCAATTTGCTAACTTCCCTGAAAAGTAGTATTCCATTGGCAGATGATGTTTCAAAACATAGGCGTTGGGACTTGTTCAGAACAAACTCAGCAACAAATTTGAGTATTGGTGTTGTGACCTGTGTTATAATTGAATGTGATCACACATCATTGCAATGGAAGTGTGGAACCACTATACTCCAAAATCTCCTAAGTTGGAAGAGATAAGATTTTCTAAGCCTCTATGAGAATTATGTCAAACACTCATTTTAAGAAAACTTCCATTGAAAATTGAAGTAGAATTTCAGAAAACAGAGATAAAATCACAAATTGATCTGACCTCGGGAGCATCAGCCCATACAGTGATGGCTTTCAAGATAAGGGGCATATGTGCTGGATATAGCCAATCAAATAGGAAAGCATAGGTCCTTCGACTGTATATATTCAGTAAAGAAACTTAAAAGTATATACTAAAACAGAACCATTTATAACTAACAACCTACTAGTAATCCAAGCACAAACAACATTACAGTAAAACTAACCTACTAGTAGCCATTGCAATTCCTCTAAGATCTCTCATCAGTCCAATTAAAGCTTGTTTCACATCATCAGAGCGGAATAATGAATCGGGTATTGATTCCAAACTCAGGAAAACCTTCAGTTAGTCATTGTCACTCAGACAAAGCAAGATAAAGTTTGAAACATATATTTATCAGAATTTCAACATTAAGAATATATTGGGATAACATATGAATTACGTACAAAATGAAAATCAATAATAAATCATCATTATAGGTTTGTGAACTAGTAAGTAAAGCAACACTTTAAGTACAACATAATAAATCCTTCCATGCCTTCATGGTATTTTGAGTCTGTTGAATAATCAGCGGAAAACAAATTGCATTTCTTAGAAAATTTGAGTTTTACATGACCTCAAATACATGTTCAAAGCATCAAATAGAGATAGCTAAAGATGTTTGGAGGCTGGTTTTTGCAAATGTAAATTGTAGAGTAGCTAGGCGGCAGTATGTGTACTAATTACATGCTAAGGTGATCTGAATATTAACTATATTCAACAGATGCTATTAAATGTAAGAAAGAAGGTAAACTTGTCCTCCCACACCTGTAGAAGTGGATCCATTGATGCTTTAAATTTCATAAGGCTATCTTCCATGAAGATCAACAAACCTAAAATGTAATAAAAGGTTGTTCTGCAGCGAGAACCCCTGTGATCCCTTAAAAAGGGGAACTGTTCCCTCTGAATACACAAAAAAAACACGATCTAAGCAGCATATGTCAATGAAACACATTCTACAGCAGAGTTATGTAATGTGGATATATCGGTGTACTGACATTACGGTTAGAGATGATTAACTGAGTAGTATCCAACTTCAAAAGAAGCTTTGCAGTCATATATCTGCATGATATTGAATATTAACAACAGTCATAATGAAAGCATACCATTCGAATTCCCAAAATTATTTTACAAGCTATTAGTAGGTAGATACCAAAGGCACTTTGAGAGGATAGATTGGAAAGACACTGACCCAGAAGCCATTTCCAGCATGAGATTTAAACTCTGGTCAACAACTTCATCACCCTAGAAGACAAGATTGACTAATGAATGTCTATGAGAAATGAGAAAGTTAGGCAACATTTCTACTATAACAATCACCTCAAAGTAGCATTTAAGATTGGTCGCAATCTTTCCCACAATGAAATTCAAGATCAGCATATGATCATGAAGCCCAAGAAGTTCAGACAATTTAGCATATAACTGCTGCAAGAGAAAAAGTCTGAATAAACAAACAGCAACAAGGAGCTCAGCATTACACAAGCATCCAGGATCTAGGGTTGCTCTCAAAATTTTGAAATAGACTGACCTTTGATGAATGAATTGCTTGATCTCCAACATATGAACTTTTAAAGTTTTGAAAGAAGATGAGAATAGACTTGTCAAGCCGCTGTTTGCTTGGTTCAGTATATCTCTGGCAGTTGCAAAAACAGAAAAGATAGCATGAAATTAACATTGATCACAAAGAGCACTCACATCATGCTCTATCCAGATTAGCTTTTAATTAGAGGAAGATGTGAGGTAGTCATTTATAAAACTTAAACACTATGTTGCTGCCAGAGCAAAAGATCATGCCAAAGACATCTTTAATGTACTTGTCTCCAGAAGGACACAATGTTAGCGGAAATGACTGCACCTGAGTGTGTAATCCACTATCGGCAATGTTTATCAGCCGAAGAACACGTGCTGAAAGCTCAGCATCATGAATTTCGTGTGATTCCCCACTAATTTAGAAAAGAAGAGTTGGAAAGAAACAACAGTGAGATGAGCAAATAGATACGAAACAAGCTGTGCTTGAAATATCCCACAGTTACAAGAAAATACATGCCTGTAACTACTAAGTTGCTTTGTCTTAACAATAGCTGCAACTATATGCACTATCCAAGCCAGTTTAGTTTCGACCGCAGAAATGACTTGGAGTTCACTTGCTTCCTGTTTTAAATAAAAACAAAAATGCTGAAACAGACATGAAGGCTTTAAGAAGCATCTAGAAAATTGACTGGTAGTATGTATCTACCATATACAACTGTAGAAGTGGATCTGTAATCTGTGTAATATATAAGCTACAGCTCTCATACTGCACTCAAAAACCCAAGTTTCACAAAATTATCTTCATCAGAGGTAAGCAGACCGAATCTAGCTCGAAATTTTACTAGTATTCTCTGTTTGAATCTTAAAATGACCTGAAATCTACAAAGGTAAGGAAGACACTCAAGCTGATCCTGTAAAAGTTCCACATTATCAAGGGGATTCTCTGAGGGATCAGGAAGTCCAGCCTGAATCAACCAAGCAATATATTATAAGGAAAAAGATGTTAATAAGATAAAGTCATATCGCCTGGTGAAAATCAAAAGCACCTAACCTGAAAAGAATCGAATCTTGATGTGATATAACACTTCGCAATCTCGGGTACAAACTCATTAAGTAAGCTTGGAGTGTCTCCCTTCAAATATGGTAGAGATGACACCAATCTAGACCAGAGCCCTAGGAGGTAGTAAACACTGCGGCTGGCCCACTGATCAGAATAGCGATTTTTCAGCATATGTTGCAGCAAAGATTTATATACAAAGTCAGAAATATTACAAGATGATATCCAAAAATTATCAAAGACCAATATAAAAATGGCCAACCTGCCATGACTGTATAGATTTCATAGTAAATTCGGCCACTAGACGTATCCAATCACCATAGCATTCAGCATGTACAAGCTCTTGGATCTGTAATAAAATTAGAAAACCACATTAATCGCAAGCATATGCCCAGGCATAGTATAGAACATGAAAGGCTTCCAACTTTCTATTCAATATTCATACTTGAGTTCTCATTATCAAATATATGAACCCCTTAAACCTTGACAGGTCAGTAGGTCAATTTCATGCATGAGTTCTCATTATCAAATCAAATGTATGAACCCCTCCCTATACGTTTTCTTGTTTAGATATGATATCGTGACCAGATGAAAGCAGCATGACCTCATTTCTGCATAATGAAGAAGCTTAAAAATTGAACTTTTTAGCTATTGAACATTTTAGTTCGCACTTGTCAGTTAAGAAAAACAGTTTATCGGCCAAATAGAGCATATACACTGCAGAAGTAATTTTGACCATATTGGTAAATACAACTATTTAGAGCTGATTGACATGAAGTAATACTGCAGCATACCAAATTTTGGTTCCAGTTTTCTATTCTAACAAGGCAATGGAGAAGTTTCACATATATCAACCATTCAAGATACCTTATAGGCTTATAGATCTCGCGAAATAAAGACAGTAAAAGAAAATGCCCATAAAGCACGATTGGTGAGTAGCAAAGAGCTACCACCTGCCATTCAGACAAAAGCTACAAAAATCTACAACTAGAACAACAGGGGCATTTGTACTGAATAAGGAAACAAAGTGGGAACTGAGAATCCTAAAATTCTCTAAAAATCCAAAATGACGGGGAAACTTTAGCTATATATACTAGGTCTCACATGATTGAGTTTATATAATATCATAACAGATCTAAAATTAACAAAGGAATCCTTTAACTATTTCGTGGCTCACAATCATAATTACTAACAAAATCAATACTAACCACACAATTCCATTTTTCCTTAAATTATATGCCCTTGTCCCAAACCTAATGGGATGAAGGGATGTTTTTTAGAAGTATCAACGCATTGTAAGGGTATGGCAGCGGAATAGGCACTGACTAGTCGGACTAGGTGCTGGTTTGGCACCATATGACCACATAGTGATTTCTGCAACCTTAACTATTACAAATAAAAGAAATAAGAACACATTGTTTATACAGTGTATGGATCAGAAAGGAAGTGGAATACCTGGTAGTTTACTTTAAAACGTCCAAGAAGACGACAAAACTCGTGGTAATTATCATGGTGTGTGAGCCCTGTTAAAAATGTGATGAAAATTTAATAATAAGCATCACAACATTCCAATGTGTTGTGTGTTAAAACCTGCTAAGAGGCTTCAATAAGCATCATAAAAATTACTAAATGCGTTGTGTGTTGAAACGTATGCAGGAGAGCCTTATGCCCTTATGTGTATACAATATTAAACGTGAGATTGGCCAAGCCCATTCTAGGTTTACACAATACACTTAAATACACATCCAAAACTACCCCTCAAGCTAGACCATATAAATATATAATCATTTAACACAACTTGTTCCACACGAATTTTACTCTAAGACCTCTAGGAGACTTTGGTAGAATATCTGCCTAGCTGTTGCCTTTGTAGTGTCGCATAATTTTCTGAGTTGATGAGAGACTATTTCTTAGAGACACAACTACAAAAATTTGTAAAAAAGTTGGGTGTTGCGATATGAAAGCACCTCTTGATTCAGCAATTCAAACATAATATAAAGCATATAAACATGTTAAAACAATACTAAAAATAATGCAAGCTATAAAGTCTACAAAAATTATATACAAAAAATCTATGTTCTCTAGACCCTTCCTAAGCCCAATAACCCACCAAGTACTCTTCTTCTAGCCCCCTAGGCGCTAAACCCATGTGAGCCACCCACCTACCACCTTTTAGAACACCACCTGAAATAGGTGTTCTAGAATTTCCCATTTAGAAACGGCAATTGCATAGCACTATGCATCAACAATTAATGTTATAAGTGGAAAAAGATCTTGTTAGTTTTACTTCAACGAGACCACTACAAATTTCTCATTTAGCTGCTGTTTTTTAAAATATATGTTTATTGGATGTGGCAGGCTGGCAGCCAACTAGCCAAGTAAGATTTGTTATAAATTTTACTAACGGTGTTAACTTGCTGAGTCTCCAATTGATAACTTCTAATCCATCATGTCATGGGATAGCTAACAGTTTTCATACAAGCCTTGAGGTTGTAATTGACCTATCCTTCAAGAAAAAACTTATCGATAGCGAATAGCAATGCTCTGATGGCTTGCACTAACAAATTGGCACTTTCAAGAGAAGAAAATTGTACGGTTGCAAATACCCAAAATCCCAAATGCATGGTGAAATGTACAAAAAACATATACCTTTGCCTGTTCTATCCCAAATAACAAACATTTTTCATGCAAGCCTTGACTTTGTAGTTGACCTATCTTTAGAGAGAGAGAAAACTAATATCGATAATGAAAAGCAATGGTCTAATGGCTTTCATTAACAAAATTGGCACGCCTGAAAGAACAAAATTGAATGATAGCAATTACAAATCCAAAATGCATCTCGAGGCGTGCAAAAAACCATATACCTCTGCCTGTTTGCAGAATATCTCTAGTTCCTGTCATCAAGAGTGACAAGTACTTCATCCTAGCAGCATCATGTGTGAAGAGGGATCTTCTAATAGAAGTAAGGCGGACCAAACACTCCAAAACCTTCATGGTGAGGTTTAAGGTGGTTAGCATCTAAATTTAGCTATTACTGACTTCAAAGACTTAGGGTCTCTTCGCAGAATCGCAATAGATTTTTGCTTACTGTTTTTTAGTATGAAAATATGGTTTTCAGTTTTCAATGTTACCATGATTAGTACAAGTACAACTACTCTTTAGTTCATTATTAAAACCTATACCACATATGTTCTAAAACCGTTAACCAAAACTGAAAACTAACTGTGGTAGCCAACAAGCCCTTAAGGTTGGTCGTTGTTTGAGGAAACGCAAAATGTTAATAGAAAAAAAAAAGATTTTAATAATTTATTTTCTATTTCTGATGCTTGAAATAGATTAGAAAGTTGTCCTTTTCTGTTAGGTTTATTCCCAACATATGAACTAATCAATGTTACAAATTTATGCTCTATAAAATAATGTATACGATGATGATAAGTAGATAAATCTATCATAATCAAATAATTGTGGTGGCATCAGCAACAGTGTGATATTTACAGTTGATGATGGTGGAAGGTCGACACAACTCACGAAGTGGTGGTTGTGAGGTACCGTCATTCCGGTGGTGGTGATTGGGTAGTTGTAGTGATGGTGATAGAGTCATAGAGGTGGTGGTGATGGAGCAGGAGTGGTTTTATGTGATGTTGGCAGCAGTGACAGTGATAGTGGATTGACAAAAATTGGACTTGGATTTGTATAAGTCTAATCAGCACAGCATCTAGAAATGTAGTTTATATATTAATTTAGAAAGAAAAAGAAAAAATCACTAAAGCCCCTTGGGTTTTAACAATTAAAAATTTAACAATAGTTTATCTACCCAATCACATATGTCACAGGACAGGAACTGCAAAATTTTAAACATATACTTCTTCTATCCTATGCTACAAAAGTTGGGAAAACGTTGGAACGATGAGAACATAGAAGAGTACAAGAAGGCTACAAGAAAAGCTCAGAAAACCGTGAAGGCAGAACAAGGAAAAGCGAACAAGGAGTTGTATGCAAAAATGGAGTCTAAGGCAGGAGGGAAAATATGTTTATAAACTTGCTCATCTTCATGAATATAGAACTCAAGTTATCGGAATAGTTAAGTGTGTGAAGGATGTCGATCAAAGGTACTAATGGAGGACAAGGAAATAAAGGGAGATGGGGTCACACTTTGATACCTTATTCAACGGGAATGAAGCACAAGATATTGATGATCTTACTATATCAGATCGTATAGTAAATCGGGATTTTAGGAGAAGGATCCAACCGACAAAAATTAAATAGGCTTTGAAAATGATGGGATGGAAGAAAGCAGTGGGTCCAAATGGCATATCGATTGAGGCCTAGAGAAGTTTGGGAGAGAGAGCATCAAGTGGTTAACACGTTTTTGAACAAGGTTTGAAGAAACAACAAAATATCAGTGAGTTAGAAAAGTACTCGTGTTCCCCTATTTAAGAATAAGGCTGATGTACACACTTGTGCCAACTATCAAGGAATTAAGCTTATGAGTCACACCATGAACTTTGGAGGTAAGTGATTCAGCATAGCCTCTGAAGAAGTATGGAGATTTGAAAGAATAAATTCTGTTTTATGTTTGGCCACTCAACAACGGAGGACATTCACCTTCTTGGCCAACTTGTGGAGAAGTATAAGCATACTAACAAGGATCTGCATTTGGCCTTGATTGACTTATAAAAGGCATATGATAGGGTACCGTGAAAAGTCCTTTGGTGGGTCTTAACTAGAAAAGGCATATCACGTAAGTATATCAACATCATCATGGATGTGTATGAGGATTGTATTACAAGTGTTTGTACTAGTGTAGGGAGGACTGTAGAGTTCATCATTACTACGGAGTGCACCAAGGATCAATCTTGAGCCCTTTATTATTTGTTATAGTCATGGATGATCTCACGAAGTCAAGAAGATATATTGTGGTGCGTGATGTTTGCGGACAATATTGTTTTGATTGAGACACAATCGGGTATTAAAGCAATGTTGGAAATATGACAACAATTTTTTTAGAACAAGGATTTCAGGCTGAGTCGAAGCAAGATTAAGTATATAGATTGCAAGTTTGGTGGAGGTACAAGCAGTCATAGTGGTGGGATTGGCCTAGATGGCAAAGAGATAACGGTCAATGATATGTTCTGTTACTTCGGCTCCATAATTCATAAGGACGGTGAACTAGATGGAGACCCATAGAATCATAACAAAGTGGATGAAATGGAAGAATGTGTCTGGATTTCTATGTGACCGAATATGCCGACTAGACTAAAAGGTGTTTTATCGGACAACAATTAAGTCCGCATTATTGTATGGCGAAGAGTGTTGGGCGGTGAAACAATGTCACATTCAAAAGATGAGCATGGCTAAGATGCACATGTTGCGCTGGATGTTTGGACATACTAAAAAGAACCGTTTGAGAAATAAGACAATCACACAAAATGTGGGAGTAGCACATATTGAAGATAAAATGTGAGAGACTTGATTGTGGTGGTTTGGTTATTTACATAGAAGACCGGGTGATGCATCTATTAGACGAGATGAGAGACGAGGAGCAGAGGGAGAGAAAGACCCAAACATACGTGAATTAGAGAACTTGGGAGTAATATGCTTCTTTTTTTGTTGGATGAGAGTATGACTTTGGAGAGGGAGAAATGGATGGAGTATATTGTCCTCATTGTATGTTCTTTATCCTTTTATCTTTTTATCTTCTTCATCTCATTGTATGTTCTTTATTCTCTCTATCTTATATTTTTTATCATTTTTACCTTATTTTTTATCTTTATATTATATTTTCCTTATCTTTTTATCTTACCTTATGTTTTTATCTTTCTTATCTTTTTTGCTCCAATTTCATGTGCCAATTCATGTTAGCCAACCCCAAACTTTTTAAGTTAAGGCTAGATGTTGTTATTGATACTTCTTATTTCCCAATTCCGAAAAGCTAATACTACTTTGCTTTTAGCACAGTTTTTAATGAAGAGTTGAAGTCTTGCAGCGAGGCCAAATGTATCAAATTAGTAATTAGTAAATTAGAAGTATCTCCTAAAAGAAAGACAAAGAAAGGGCAAGTGTAAAAAGTAGGAAGTTCTTTTTTGCACTTTTGTGATGGGCAAAAAAGAAATTATGACCAGTAAAGTGGGACACAAGGAGGAATTTTAGGAATAAAACAGAGGAACAGGGGAAACCCCAAACCCACCTTTCTATAACAAACACCATCTTGAGTGAAAAATCACTTGCAAGGAAAGCAAAAATATCAATGTTCTTACCTCCTTTGAGAAGTTAGATTCATTAATTTCATAGTACTCGAAGAATATTTTTACAGTTGATGGATCCTCAATGACTTGTTTCCACGCGGCTGGTATCTGAATATATTTAATGGGGGGCTGAGGATATCAGCTAACAACTTTAAATGCACATTGAGGAGCTGTTACAAGAATAGAGGATGCTTAGTAGCACCTGAATGTTGCTAAGATCTTCTGAGGTTTCATCAACCGTTATCCCCATGAAATCATAAGATAAACACTTTAGCGATAGTGCAATGGCCAGTCCTTGTAACTTGCTGCCAGCTGCATAGTTAGCAACTCATGCTAGTATTTTTTTAATGACAATGTACAAAAAGAAATATTAAACAGAACTCGTCAAAGCGTTTCTGAAGGAATTGACAATGTACCATCATTCTTCAGCTGTGACAACGAAGTAAGGGATATTTGAAATATTTGAAGAAGCAATTCATCTCTAAAGGAGCAAGCCACCCTACGATGTTGTGCTGGTGGCAACCCAGAACTTGGCTGATCCATTTACAGAAATATATATAGCAATGCATCAGTAGACAACACAATAGATCTATGACCGACGGTATGACCATATGAAACATACTCATAATCAAGAAAGAGAACAGTTACACACTTACACGAGACCTATATAATTAGCATAATTGTGAAAACATGAAGTATAGCTCTGTTACAAGCACAGGGCAGAACCTTTTAATGGGTAAGATTGCGATCCAACGGATGTAATATTTTAAGAGAATTTGACATCTACCAAAAAAAAGATAAAAGACACCCTTTGGCCCAAAATGCAAGAAGCATTTGAGTTTGACACACCTATAGAAAATAAAAAGATGATCTTAGGAGTTTACAAATTGACCTTTTTGAAGGGAGGAGAAAAGAAAAATGGAGTGCACTCAAGGCGCTAGAGTACTCATATCGCTTGAGGAGCAAGGCGCAAAAAAATCGCTTGTGTTACTCATGTAGTCATGTCAAGCACACTATTTAGAAAATATTATGTATACTATTCTAGAGTGATCAAATATGACAGTCAACATCATATTGAACTAAATGCATTAAAAAGTCATGTTTCTCAAAAAACAGAGTCAAAATTCACCAAAATAAAGTCACGGTTCACTAAAACAAAGCACCAAGCGAGGTCTGTTTTTGCTGATTTTGCAGTTTGAGAACTAGGGGTAGCACAAATTATAGTGTATGAAACTATTAAATGAAGTAGATTTATATGAAGCTTTTAAACATGAAAATATGAAATGATAATAAGAAGAAATAGAGTTATAGACTGTACGATAGGATGGAAAAAAAATATTGTACATATAATGTACTGTATAAAGTATAAAGTATGCATAGATGACTGGAAGTGATAAAGTAAAGAAAGAAGATAGACTGAAAGAATAAAATGAAAGGATCAACAAGAAGATGAAAAAATAAATGAAGACTACAAGCTGAAAAAGAAAGAAAGAACACAGGAAGATGATAAAGAAGAAGACACCTTATGGGTTTCTGGCTTCTGTGGATTAATTGTTGACTGCGATTTCAGCGATGAGCATGTTGTGCAAGTAGAGCACTAGAGCATAGGAGAGCAACGATGAAGTCATGATAGAAAACTTTTACCGCCACTTAGAAGTTAGAAGGGTTTAACATGGGTTTAAGTTGTTTTGACCTAATATTTGGATGGGCTAAATCTTATTATAAATATGGGCTTATTATTTAAAGTTGGATCACACCGAAAAATAGGCTGATAAGCCTTTCCCACCCAGGCGACTTAAGCATGCGTTTTTCAACACTCTAACGCTTCTGAGCTTATTGAGCCTCACTCAGGTGGCTACGCCTGGGACACTAACAAACGCTGACCCTCATATGCACCTAGCTTGGTGCGCTTATGCGCCCAGGCACTCACTTTTGACTACACTGGGGGCACTGCATAAAAAGTCGAAAGGATGATGAAATGATAAGCTGGAAAAAGCAAAAAGTTGGTGATTTATATATTAACAATATGATCATTGTTTTGAGATAGACTAAAAGAAAAGGGGTCTCTTAAAAATGGGACAATATGAATATAAAACAAAATAGTCTAAAATTGTTCAACTTCACATAAAGATATTTGAGATTAGGTGACAACTCCGGTACCCTTCTAAAAAATGGGGGTACCGTACCTACCACTCATTTGATTGGACCACATCACTTTATGATTTTTAATTTAGATTTAAATAATTCAACTACTACATTCTCATTGGTCCATGTGGACAAAGGTATGGTACCTTATGGGTACCATAGAATTCACCTTGAGATTATGGAGGCAACCTTGCTAATCATGGACCCCTTATAAGTACCATGTGCAAACCACACACTTTATCGACCAGGTTGTGATGACAGTTCAATGAAACCGCACGTCCGCACTCCACACAAACTAAGATGTCTGACCAGTTCGGGGGGGGGGGGGGGGGGGGGGCTTAGATATTGGGGTGTAGCCCTTTAAGATGTTTGAGATTCTATTTGAATATCCATGTAAATCTTGGATACCAATGTGCCTTGCTTGTGTTCTCAATATAGTTATGTACTGTTCGCATGGTTTAAAAGGCGTCTACGCGTACCTCAGTGCGGAACAGAGAAATGTTGCCCTAAGGATTAAGCCTTTCTGTGATGGCAAGAAGTGTATGCCTTACCAGCTTGAGACATGACTTATGAGGCAGCCGTTCATGAGGCGGATCAGGCACATGCCTTGTGTTTCCAGATATGTGCTGTCTTTATTTCAAATATCCTAGCCAAACAAGAAAGCTTTTTGGGCTGCTTGAAGTTATAAAAATAGATTATTTGCTCTAGACATTAGCATATACTTGTGCCATAAGAGTACGCCCTAATAAATTAAAAATTGTAGTTTATAAGATGTAAAGTCATAAAACCTAATGTGCCTGCACAACACGCCAACACCTCTACAAATGTTTCTTATCCGGAGCTTCATCTCTATTTTCGATGGTTCCACAAAACAGGGAAAAGTAAAGAAGCCGGGACCCATGGTGGGAACAAAGAACCCAAAGGAGAATTCCTGTTTGGAGTCATGGAGTAAAGACAAAAAATTCTTAACACTAAGCTATTTTATGTATTATAGAACATTAAGTTGTTTTTATGAATTCTTATGCTATTACATTTGTTGTGATGCCCTAGGCAGTCGCATATATCATTTAGGGCTTCTATATTTATAATAGTCATGTAGCACGTGAGGCTTACACCTTGATATGCCTTTGGGGTTACACCTCGAGGCTCGTTTACGCCTTTTCAAACCATGCCTGTTTGTACTACATAACTTTGTAGAGGCAAATTATATGAGAATATGAGAATGGACAACTTGATATCAAAAGATATGGAATATTTGTCAAACCTCCTTCTTAAACACACCGATATTTATTGAGCCCGGTTCTGCATTACTCATCTATTGATGTTATATGTAGTAACTAGTCAGCAAATTTCAGCAGCTCCATTTAGCAGGTAACCAAGATAGTAGAGACAATAAGGAGTAGGCATTCTAAAACAAAATCAACCCTAAATGGGTCCATTCTATGGATCAAACAACAATGTTTGTTATTGTCGAGAGTCATATCCTATTCAAGCTTCACACATGGCATTATGTCTAATTGTCTCTACCCAAGCTTCATACAAATGAGATTATGTGTAATTCCACATCATTCTTATGTTGCCTCCCTGAACATTAATGCCTTCTAAGTTCTAACTATTGCATCTCCAAACATAATGAACCATCTCCAACAACTCTCTCTCATCTTATCCTTACTCCAATAGTTACTCTCCTCACTTCTTTCATAGTTTTGTCCTTCATATTGCGCAATGCATTTGCACCTAGTGGTGCACCTCAGCTAATTCCTGGACTATTGCGTAAAAGGAATTGCATGTGGCGTTGGGAGTGTAGCATAAGACATATTGCAGTAAGGCTTATGCAATATTGCATACGCAATAAGGCATTGGGAGGTGTACGCAATCAGGCATTGGGAGGCATATGCAATAGGAGGTCAGAGTGTAATGGTATTATTTGGGCCCACTCAGTCCTCTTTTTAATTTCATAATTAATATGTTATGTGGTTGTGATCCCTATTTCGAACCATTAGATAATGATGATTCAATTTTTCAGTCATCAATCTAATAACTTTAAATTTTCGAGCCCGTTTGGTAACACTGAAATCGGTTAATTATGCTGATTTATGATAAAATTATATTTAAAATATATTTTATTAATTAAATAAAGAAAAAATTATATGAAAAAATAGCTAAAATGATCATCTACAGTAACTTCAGTCAATACGGCCAGAGAAGTAACTCCAACCTTACCTTTTCTTATTATTTAAAATGATCATCTACGTGTTTGGTTAAAAAGTTGGTTGATAAGCCTGATAAGCTGAAAGACAGAGTCACCAAACAGGCCCTTCGTGTGTTAGGAATTTTGTTTTGATGTATAGTTCAGAAATTTTTGTTATTCTGTGGTTTGAACATATCACTTTGCTAGGATTATGGACTCATTATAATGTTTAAGATGTCATTTGATGACTTTTGATGATTCGGTTGTTTTATTTTTTATTGTGTTTACACTTTACACACGCACGCACCACACATGTTGTGCCCTCATTGCGCAATGAGGCGTACGCAATATGCAATTTTAAAAAAACATCACGATTATGCAATATGCAATTTCAAACCTTGATCTCAACATTCTTATATCTGCTGAAACCCTTTTGTGTGCATGTTGATAATACGCTGCAACATTGTACAACTCCAAGCCATACAACATAACTAAGGTCATAGCTATCCTATAGAATTTCGGCATTGTTGTCATGGCGATTGCCATGTCTCAAAGGCATTTTTCGTGGAGCATGGTGATGGCGCATATACGAATGGCGCATATGGAACACAAGGTGGTATGGTGACGACCACTTTTTCATGGCGATGACGCATATGGCGCGCACCATATCTCGCCATTGACTACTATGGAATTTCCCCTTCTATTTGAATGTTATTTCTCAATCATAAATTTCCAAATAAGTTAGAAAGAAATACAATACAATTTCTAGTTCAATATATATTTTTTGGTATGTATTGCTTTTTATCAAGATATATTTTTGGTATGTATTGCTTTCTAGTTCAAGATATATTTTTGGTATGTATTGCTTTGTATCAATATCCTCTTGTGTTGGATATATATTGCCTTAAGCGAAAAGTAAAAGCCAATAACACAGCTTCCCCTGAAGAACAAGAAAATATATTAAAATTTTGACTGTTCGTTAGTTCATGAAATTTGAATTGTTTGGGTTTTGATTGTTTTTAAAATAGGGTGAGGGACAAATAGTGTTTAATAGTGATGCAACTATGCAAGTAATGGGGACACATAGTTATTTATCTGGGTAAGCAAATAGTAGTAGACAAAACAAGTGAAGTTAGTAACAGATGCAGTTATAGTGATGCACAGTTACTTGGTAATGGAGTGCAGATAGATGCTGAAGGTAAATAAGTTGATAGTGATGCGTATAAGTAGGAGTGTCATGATGGGTGAAAGTAAAAAAGATGTATTCTCATGTCTCACCTAAGAAATGGTTATCATTTTATCCAATTTTGTGGGTGGGGGTGGGGGGGCTTTTCCCATTTTTTGTTTTCCATTTCTTCAAAAACTAGAGAGTTTTTACCAACAACATCCAAGCCTTAGTCCCAAACGAAATTGGGGTCGGCTAACATGAATCGATATATGATATCACCAAAAGGAAAAGAACGAAAATAAAGATAAAAAAGATAAGCTATTATAAAAAAAAGATAATATAAAAGAGATGAATATACATATAAAAGATCAAATAAAAAGGATAAAGTAATATTTATATATAAGGATAAAAATATAAAAGAAAAAAAAAAAAAAAAAAAAAAAAAAAGAGGAGAAAAGATGATACAAGATCACTCTTCCACACGAATACCCGCCCTCCATTTTGCTCTCTCCAAAGCCATACTCTCATCCAATCCAAGAAGAAGCATATCACTTCTGACTCCCCTAACCCACGTCTGTTTGGGCCTTCCTCTCCCTCTCTTCCCTACCTCTTCTCCACACATCTCAACTGGTCTGACGGGTGCATCACTCGGTCTTCTATGCACATGACCAAACCACCGTAGGCGTGACTCCCGCATCTTATCTTCAAAAGGTGCTACTCCCACCCTTTGTCTAATTGTCTCATTCCTCACGCGGTCCTTTCTAGTATGCCCACACATCCAACGCAGCATGCGCATCTCTGCCACACTCATCTTTTGAATGTGACATTGTTTCACCGCCCAACACTCCGTGCCATACAGTAATGCAGGCCTAATTGCTGTCCTATAAAATTTACCCTTCAGTCTAGTCGGCATACCTCGATCGCATAGAAATCCTGACGCACTCTTCCACTTCATCCACCCTGTTCTGATTCTATGGGATACATCTCCATCTAACTCACCATCCTTCTGAATTATGGAGCCCAAGTAACGGAACATATCGCTGACCGGTATCTCCTTACCATCTAAAGTAATTCCGCTATTACCACTGCTTCTACCTCCAAAAACTAGAGAGTTTTTACCATTACAAAAAAAACCTAGATATTTATATTTGAGCGGATGGTGTTCAAACATCACAATACAGCCAATGTGCAAGCTGCCATTATTTATTGAATAGTTTCAGTCAGCTAAACCACCAATGTTACAATTTATTCTCTCGTCTACAGGCACATAATTGTTCTTTATAAGAAAATACATTTGTTAAATTAAGCATCGGGAATCATCTACTTAAAAAAACTCTTAACTCAAATATTTGAATTACCTACATAGCTACTAAGTACTAACCCACTACCTCAGTAGTTGATCCAGTCATCCAGACCATCACATAAAAGGCTCAACTAATGAAAAGGTTTATCAAATCCTCCCTCAGTGGTTTTCTAAGACTGCTAAGAAATGACAATATTTATTGAATATGAGGCTATAAGCTCATGGATCTAACCGTAAAGTAGCATTCTAATTAGCACGGTTGACATCATCAGTGTACATTTCTTTAACAGTTTAAATCCTCTTTGGCTCTAGGAGGATAGCTCTAGTATACACAATAACAAAAGAAAGGAGTCAAAAGTAAGGAGTTTTAAGAAACTAGTGAACCTGATTCATCTCAGATATCAGTTGATTCAGTATCTTCAAACCAATGGCATAATGTAATGGTGTCTGAGGACAGCAGAAAAATGAAAACATAAAAAAACTACAAATTTATAGACATATTTTTAGTGCATGCAAACAAAAAATTACAATTATAGCAATATAAATGACATAAACAAAAATGTTAGCACGGCAAGCTTCAAATCATAATAAACGTTGAACTATGGTATTCACTAATACCCGGGAGAAAAAAGATGATCACAGGGTGGGGTGGGGGGTTGCACGTCTCTGAACAAACTGTAGTTAGGAGTTTTGGGGGGAAATAAATAGTAGCCCAGAAAACTTATTTATTATTATTATAGCTTTATACATCTGGTAAACATGACAACAATTACCTGATTTAAGAAGTTTGTTGACTCCTTAACCACATCTCTGAAACTGTCATCTTCAAACCACCCATACTTTGTAACCCGGCAAACAAGTTGAATTAATGATGTAGTTACAAAAGACTCCAAATCAGGTCCTCTTGTGGCCAGGTAGTTTATAGTATAGTTTCCTTCATAAGGAGTAAACATTAGCAAAACAACACTCAATTAACAACACACCAAAATGTGTTGATACCACAGAACCAATATAAATATATTAATAAAATAAATCAAAGGCCAGAGCTATATAAGCTATATAAGTTAGCAAAAAAGTGTGGGATAAAAGTGCATAGTACTTCCAAAGATGTGCTGTAAATCAGTAAATAGTTTCACGTTGTCTTTCGAATATATCTCCCCCCTCCCACTTTCCAACGGTAGCCACCCAACTACTCAATAGGTGTCTAATTTCAGTGAATTACCCTTGCTAAGTATGGAAATATAGTTCATGCACTAAATGAAATGAAAAACTTATTTCCTCTGACGCCAACATGATGTAGAGCATGTGATGGTATAGAACCCTTATGATTCATCCAATTTGAGAGTGAATAGCTCAAATTCTAGAGAACCATGCAGATTGCAGAGGATGTCAATTGCACATGAAGAAAAAAGCAAAATCTCAATGACCTATAAATTCAAACTTGAGTAACTGCATGTTAATAAGAACATTACGAATATCAAACCGAAGCTGCACAGATAGGTTGCAATCTGTCACTTGCTTCAACAGGCTTGAACTAGCCATAATAAGTGCATAAGGTGACGATGCATTGTCTAAAATGTATTGGCACTGTGAGATGTAGCTACTGCTTATTGAGAAGCATTTGAGAGTATTCTCCGCGTGTGCTCGTTCAGCAGAATCCTGCGAGTTGTAAAGCCTCTCGCACATTGCTTCAAGGTGTGCCAAGCTCTCCATCTTTCAGCAAAATGAACTTCTTGGAGTTCACACAACCAAGCAATGCAAGGTAAAGATGTCAAAAGTCTTTTGGATATGAAAATATAAAACCTAAGAACTCTGCATTTAGATATAGCAGACCAATCAAATTGAAAGAAGTGATGATGGAGGACAGAATCCAAATCAGGTCAATATATTTCAGCCAAAATTTCTGATATGAATATTAATTGTAGCATCAGTTACCAATTACACAAATGGGGCATCTAGATTATCATTTTCTTATTTTTACAAAACAATCCTACTGAATGATAACAGACAACACAATGATAGGGCTGTGGAGATGATCAGCAAGCCTCAAATGCGGTAAGTTTGTGTCAGTAGATTATTACAGCCGACTTTCCTGAAATCCAATTATAATTGATGTCAATGAACAGAATATATATGTACATTACATACGATGCACAGTCAACTCACTGTGACGTGAAGCAAATAATAGATATGTGTGAAAATTAAGGGAAATTTCTTGCCGTACAGTCTCAAAACAGTATTGGGAATGCCTCATGTAACTGAACCGGGACCGTGAACAAAAATCTTAGTTGATTGTATAGAAACGATAATAAAACTAGAGATGAGAGTGATTGTTTTCCGATTTTATCGGGTGAAAAAACATTCGGAAATTAACTATGAGGAGCATCTAAAGCAATGGAGAAGAAACAGGGTCTCACGTGGATTTAGGCCACTGGTGTGATAGGTGAAATAGGGTTTAGGTCGTTGTGAGTCAAAAGAACGAGAATGGCTAAACAAAGGATTGATTCTCTTTAACTTGCCCTCGCTCGATCAGCTGACATGGTGCAGATGTTTGTTAGCTGAGGCACCCGCATGGCGGGTAGTAAGAAGGATAAGAGTTGGACTTGTTGAGTTGTTGTTACACGGTCTATGTAGCCTATGTAAAAAACGTGTACACCAAAAAGTGTGTACCAAGACTACTTTTGGAAGGCAAAAGTTATTTTGTATCTATACTCCACTCGTCTCCTATTGCTACTTGTCTACACGACCAACTAAGAGACAACTCAGATGTGTACACACAGTTATGAGGGTGTACTCAAATGTGTACAACTTATGTATACACCAAAAATGATTTGTGTAGAAATTATCATAGCTAAAAAGGCACGAGAGCGTGTGAATTGGGCATTTAGAGCCTATTTTCGTACAAAAATGTTATGTGTACAAAAAATGGTATATTTCACTTTCCTCTTTCATTCTCCTGTCTTTGTGCTCTTATTATTGCCTCAGCCCTCATCCCCTTCAATTTAAGAGCTCTCTCAATCTCTATATTTGAAGGTCTTAAGAGCTCCCCATTTAATTGTCATACTCTACGTCGTGTCTTTCTTTAAGGTAACCATTCTTCTCAAACCATGAGGTAATACATATTCTCATTTTTCTTCATGTGCGTTTTTTATTTTTTTTTATTTTTTCCGCTTTTATGTATATTAGGTATGTTATGACATTGAATAATTGATTAATTCGTTTTATTATAGTGGATTTGAGGTATTAATTAATTGAAATTTTAGTATAATTACTATAGTTCATTTTATGCCAATAACATATTTGTTATAATTACTCAATGGAAAATTTTGTTCGCGCTCAAGACTTTTCTTTCCATTTCTTTTACCTAGATCAATATTTAATGAGTCTTAAATTGATTTTTTCCTTGATTTACAATTTAATACTCCCCCGTCCCATTTTATCTGTCTTACTTTCCTTTTTGGGTTGTTCCAAAATAAGTGTCATCTTTCTCTTTTTGGAAAGAAATATGTGGTCTACAACGTTTCACTTTATTATACTCAAATCTCAACCTCAACTTTTATCTTTTCAACCACTTTATTAATAATTATGCCAAAGTCAAAGGAGACACATAAAATGGGACGGAGGTAGTATGATACAGTGATTCTTTATTGACTATTTTATGTGGTTGTTATGGATTTGCTAGGTTTCTTGTTGAAACTTTAGTCTCTAAACTTATTATGCATTAATGAGTTTATACATGTGATTATACTATCGGGGTTAGGTGGCTGGGATTTAGAAAGTATCAATTGAGTGTTATTATAGTTTTATTTCCATGTTAAACAATTTTTGGCAATTGGTGGGAGAATGTCGAGTGCATTTGTAAGGGATACTCATACACTATTATTCCTTCTTGACCGATAATTACAGTGCATTCTTGTATTCTTATATAGCTTATATAGCTTTGGCCTTTGATTTATTTTATTAATATATTTATATTGGTTATGTGGTATCCACACATTTTGGTGTGTTGTTAATTGAGTGTTGCTTTGCTAATGTTTACTCCTTATGAATGAAACTATACTATAAACTACCTGGCCACAAGGAGACCTGATTTGGAGTCTTTTGTAACTACATCATTAATTCAACTTGTTTGCCGGGTTACAAAGTATGGGTGGTTTGAAGATGACAGTTTCAGAGATGTGGTTAAGGAGTCAACAAACTTCTTAAATCAGGTAAATATTGTCATGTTTACCAGATGTATAAAGCTATAATAATAATAAATAAGTTTTCTGGGCTACTATTTATTTCCCCCCAAACCTAACTACAGTTTGTTCAGAGACGTGCAACCCCCCCACCCCACCCTGTGATCATCTTTTTTTCTCCCGGGTATTAGTGAATACCATAGTTCAACGTTTATTATGATTTGACGCTTGCCGTGCTAACATTTTCGTTTATGTCATTTATATTGCTATATTTGTATTTTTTTGTTTGCATGCACTAAAAATATGTCTATAAATTTGTAGTTTTTTATGTTTTAATTTTTTTGCTGTCCTCAGACACCATTACATTATGCCATTGGTTTGAAGATACTGAATCAACTGATATCTTAGATGAATCAGGTTCACCAGTTTCTTAAAACTCCTTACTTTTGACTCCTTTATTTTGTTATTGTGTATACTAGAGCTATCCTCCTAGAGCCAAAGAGGATTTAAACTGTTAAAGAAATGTACACTGATGATGTCAACGGTGCTAATTAGAATGTTACTTTACGGTTAGATCCATGAGCTTATAGCCTCATATTCAATAAATTTTGTCATTTCTTAGCGGTCTTAGAAAACCACTGAGGGAGGATCTGATAAACCTTTTCATTAGTTGAGCCTTTCATGTGATGGTCTGGATGACTGGATCAACTACTGAGGTAGTGGGTTAGTACTTAGTAGCCATGTAGGTAATTCAAATCTTTGCATTAGAGTTTTTTTAAGTAGATGATTCATGATGCTTAATTTAACAAATGTATCTCTACAATTATATAAGCATGAATATTGTTGGGGGTGTAAAGGTCCTCATAAAAATGTTCGTGTCTTCTTATTGCATTGGCCAATTGTACGTTATGCACAACTGGTTAACCATTAAAGCAGTTGTCGCAAGGTAAGGGGTCACGATGTCAAACTTGCCGTTAAAGCTTAAAGCAAGGTGAGGCTATTTGATTCTTCCTTGTACATCTCTTACATTTCAAACGTTCCAGATTAATTTCCTTCCTTTCCTCTCTCCATGCGCCGTTGCGCGACTCCGCCTCTTCTGCTTTTTCCTTTCAAGCAAGGCCGGCAACCCGGTAAGCGATTCTGAAACGGCCTCTTCTGCTTTTCCGTTCAACATAGGCCGGCAAGCAGCCATGATTCTGAAATGTTTTTTTGGATGCTCAAGCATCCTCGATTATCATCTATAAATATATTGCACCTGCTATTGAGCATATTTTGGAATTCTAGGCATCGTTTCGTAAGTTCTTTCTTCTCTTTTAATGAATTATATGTCTCCTTAACATTTAAATCCAATTCATTCCTAAATTAGTTTAGTTTTTTTCCTTTGATCGTCTTGCTTTTTTGCTCTTGTATTGTTTGTTTGATTTTAATTGCCATGTGTTTATATTCTTGTACTATCATGTCTAGGTATCCCTTCATGTGTATTTCTTCACATCCTTTTGTTTATGTTCCTTTCTTATTTGTTTGTATCCCTTTCTTTTATTTTGATCGCTATGTGTTCACTGAAATGTTCATGTGAAATGTGAAGTGTTCTAGATAACTATCTCACATTTACTTACAGTTGCAGGCTGTTTTTTAAATCATTTTCCCCTCCTTTTGGTTTGCTCACTATGTAATTGCTAGCATGAAAAAAATTCATACACGGTATGTTAAATTTAGAGTTTAAGAAATGGTGAGGAATCCCATTTCATACTGTCAAGGGTTCTCACACTTGACAGATCTTGACTAAATGTGTACATAATAGTAGTATATTTTATAATATTGTCCTTTTAGAACAGGTGTTTAAGACCTTGACCTTAGCAAAACAATTCCAGTTCCTTGCTTCCTTAATATGTATTCATTACGGGGGCTGCTGTGGGAAAGGCTTTTGCAATCTTTTCAGAATGAGAAAATGGAGCTTTTTACAAGCTCATACACCTAACTAATATCATTGTTAGTTAACTAATATTATTGATCTCTTTGAAGCTCAATTTTACCAAACTTTTACAATTGGAGTAGGTTGAATTGAGCTTCCTCAAAGTTGTACTACGTATTGAACAGTATTTCGAAAATGGGATTAAAAAAGTTAGATCAAGTGAGATTAGACTGAATTACATTTGAAAAGAGGGTACTAAACATAGGAGCATGTTTATGTTTCAATGTTTTTATTAACAAGCGATTAGATTAAGATTTAGAAAGCATGTGGACATGTTTTAGTTTTACAGTTGCATATCTCTTGTCAGGATATGAGATGTGGGCATGCTTATGCTTTGCAACTATCTTTGTTCAGGGGTTCATAGAAAGAGATTTTCCTATTAATCCTATAGTTGAAGAAAATTGAAGGACTCCCAATGTACTACCACCTGATTAAAGATACTTTATGTGAACCCCTTTTGAAATCCTAGGTTTAATGATAGACTTCTTTTTGGTAAGTTTTCACTGTCTCCATGCTGGTTTTGTTATCTAGGAAGTCGAAAGTTTAAAATATGTTATACTAGACATGATACAAAGGATACACCAACAACAAAGGATGTATGGAGTTTTTTTTTTTGCAATGATTTCAATACAAGTAAAGGATCTAGGTTGGGGTTTTTTATTCAGGCAGATCAGGCCATACAAAGATAAATAATTAAAATAGCAGTCCACATTAAAATGCTACATAATTTCAAACCATTTGAAGACAGAGCCTTTTGATTTGTTTTTTAGTGTGCTGGTTTAAAAACTGAAATAAATTGTCTAAATACAGTGGATTTCGATATTGATGGTGAATTGAATGGTGAGAAGCTCTGCTGTAGATGTTGAAAATTCAATTGTAGCATTTTGGGAGCAACTTGATGTTAAAACTAACAATGACCTTCCTGGGAGGGAAGTAATAATTTCAATAGAAGAAGGAAATGAAGAAGGATAAGATGCAGATACTACTGTGAGTAATAATTCAGTTGCGGATGAGCCTTATGTGGGTCAGGAGTTTGAATCGGAAGCAGATGCACATGCTTTTTACAATGCGTACGCAAGTAGAGTGGGTTTTATTATACGTGTTCAGCAAGCTCTTTCGGTCTAGAAAAAATGGTTCTGCCATCGGTTGAGCACATGTTTGCAACAAAGAGGGCTTCAGCGTGGCGGACAGGCGGGCAAAGGCTGTGAGGCAAAGAGCAGAAACCAGGTTTGGGTGCAGGGCTATGATTTTAGTCAGAGAAGATATATCTAGCACACTGACAAATGGCCAATGTATTTAGACATTAGTTTGCCAGGTGTGTTGCTTGACACAAAACAATATTTTCACCTATACCTATTTCTAAATTCTAAGGAAAAACATGAACAATTGATACAAAGAATGAAACTATATTATGATATAATAGATGATTTTTCAATGCATGATACTTGATAGTTGATACCTCGAAAATCTCTATGG